GGCTTGTAACCATCCATTGGAAAACTTAGATTAGTTATTTTTGAAAATATTTATTAGTTTTGCTAATCATTTGGCTTTAGCTTTAATTATGTTTCTGTTCAAATATACTGCTCAATGTTCACATTGTAAAACCTAATTTGCTAAAGCAGTATCTAGCTCAGGAAATATAACAGCATGATATTACAAATCGAAATCGATTGGTTGGAGACTAATCGATTAAATTTTTTAATCGATTAATCTATAAGTTGATTAATCAATAAGCTGCAACTAATCGATTAATTGATATGTTGCAACTAGTGCTGCTAACAAAATTACTATATACTAATAGTTATCTATTAATATTACATAATTTCGTTAGCAATACCAGTTGCAATACATCAATTAATCGATTAGTTTCAGCTAGTTTTTAACTAAAAAAAAATTAAACTAATTAATTAAAAAAATTGACAATTTGTAATGCTATGCAAAAGTTCTCTTAAATGTTACATCAAAAATATAGCCCATGGATACTGATATTATTGTATCATTTAAACTTTATTATCGGTATATACAACTTTAATGTGCAATAGATCATGATGAAGCTGGTAAGCATGATATATATAAAGTTGATCAACTGCAAGCTATAAGATGGACAAAGTTTGCCTAGGGTAAAGTTTCTATTAAAACCATCAAAAATTGCTGGCTCTATACAAAAATTATATCTCCTTGTGATAATAATGAAACATCTATCATTCTTTCTACTTATATTAATAACAATGAAGCTATAAATAAATATTTACCTATAAATCCAAATGATGCTAAGGAACTTCAGCAAGTGATTGATATATTATGTGTTTGCTATCCAATATCTCTAGAAGATTTGTTAAAAGCTAAAGAACATGAAGGGTTATATTAGCAGTTTAATGAGAATGATTTTGTCCAGGCCATCACAAAATAAAACAATTAGAAGATGAAGTTGTAACACCATCCTTAACTAGAAAGAAGTAGTTGAATATTTTATGTAGTGCTCTGAAGATTGTTGATAAAAGAATTAATGATAGTGGGGTAATGATAAAGTCCTTATACAAACTACAAGCCTGTATCCATGAAGAAGTTCGAAAAGAAGAGGCTAAAAGACTGATTCAAACTACATTAGAGTGATTCTTTTTCAAACCTTAAATGATTTCACTTTGAAAATTTTATTGCTATAAAAACAGGTGTAATTTTTTTTTTTTTTTTTGTTTCTTTATATCAAATACATAAAAGTGTTATTACAGGTTTCGCTTTTGAATATTATACAACCTATACTTTTACTAAACTACAGATCTATCTTTTTAAAGAATTTTTCACACAATAATTAGTATTAATAAAGGTTCATTATCAAGTTTAAATAATATAAAAGTAACTTACTACAAGCTAAAAGTGATACTATTTTCTTAAAGTAATCATGTCAAGTCCTCAATCAGTTATTAGAACATTGAGCAATCTATTACATGCTGCAATAAAATAATGATTGTTAGGTGTTGTTACAAAGTAGGTTGTAACACAAAGCAATACTAGTATAGCATAGTATAGAAAATATTCTATTATTATATTATTTATTATATTATTATATCATAGTATTATAGTTATTATTATATTATTATTATATTATTAGTTATAGTTAATT